TTTTTATAATGTTATTTATTTGTTCTGTTGTGGTTTTCTTTTAGAAGAAAAAATAATCCAGTTACTCAGATTGCTTAATGACTTGCTGAAACAGCAATTTTAAACTGTATTAATTTAGATCATTTTACAGTCATTTAATAACGAAAACAGCCAGGATAAGCGTCTCTCGCTCAACCAACCTAGTGCCTTCTGTAGCAACAAAAGTTGCCAATTTCGGGCAATGGGTGACAATGACGCCGAGTGACTAGTTTATAGGTATTATCGTATTTCAGCAGTTATGTCACTTTAACCCTATGATTACATCACGAACGTTCTATTAACATTATATTTTCAATAATTTATCTCCTTGCACTTGTTATATAATTACAAGTCTATGATATGTATTCAACAAAAAAAATGCCATACATTTTAATAATTTGCCATTGCAATCAAAATTTTAAATTCAAGCAAACCATTTTATTTGAGCAAAATGTCGATAAAATTTCTGCATTGTAACAATCATTTCAATATATATTGTGGCATTCCTATGATTACTAGTGGGTCATATTACTGTGGTACTTGATATAACTTTTTAAATGTTTTAACAATGTCATTGATTCATATCTATAGCTCATACATTGCGCATAAAATAAAATAGGTAAATTTATTACTAGAAAACCATTTTCCGGTAAATTTATTACTAGTATCCATTTTCCAGTAACTGGTTTCTTGAGCAGTAAAAGCATTTTACTAGAAACTTGGTACTAGTAATACTACCATTTAACAAAAAGGGTAATCTGTTGCCTTAACCACCCTATAAAATTGTGAATTGTTTATAAGATTGTTTTACATAACAAGTGCAAGTAGATATATTCTTGAAAAATATAATTTTAATATGACATAAATGATGTAATCATAGCTAGGGATCAAGTGACGCAACTGCTGAAAAAACCGGGTAATATAAAATTGTAACTCGGCGTCATCGTAAACCTTGGACCCTTTTTGCTGCTACGGAAGGCACTAGTTGGTTGAGCAAGAGACCTTATCCTGGCTGTTTACGTTATTAAGATGACTGTAATTACGATCTATATTGTAATACGATCTATATTAAATCCAGTTTAAAATATAAAACGGCTGTTTCTGCTAATCATTAAGCAGTTTGAGTAACTGGAAATATATCTTCTAAAAATAATTTTTTAAATAAATACAAAAATGACAGTAGGAAACCAGTTCTTTTTTCCATTTAAAACATTCTCTTATATATTTTAAGACCTGAAATTTTACTTAGCACTGACATGCAAATCGTTTATTAAGTTATTATCAACACTTTTACACAATAGTGTGTACTGTTGTCATCGACAATTTGCAAACATTGTTTGAATGATCTAATATAATACAAAACGTTAGACGAAACTAAATACATTTTTAGAAAGCATCGGAACTGCCGCGGTCGGTAGGCAATGTACCATAATTTGAATTTGCTCGATAGAAAAATAATCACTAAAAACTTACCTCAGTCGAGCTATTTTGGCCGTGTACGTTGACTTTTGTGGTCACGTGACCAAAGTTGCTTACCCACTGTGTTAATCTAAAGTGAATTTTTTTTGGAAATGATGGACGACCTACTTTTACAGTTGACGACATTTATAAGTCAAACTGTTCAATGTATAAATTATTTAATTTAAGGAGAAAATTTATGTAAATGATGGAATACTTACTTTAAAAGTTTCTGTTTCACATTTTCATTATTGTAAAATGTTGAAAATAATTACAACTGTAGAAATAATCAGCACAACGTACAATAGAATTTGATATTAGAATTTAAAATAAAAATTGTATACAGAAGGTACACTCACTCATGTGTTATAACTGGTAATCATGCATGTTTACCAAATCATCGTAATTTAAATAACAAAAATAAAATATCGATTATTGTTTGGCAATATTAATTTTCGGGATGATGTTCGCTAGTTTTCGTAATTCATTACGATTTACCCATTTATTTTTAAGTTCACAATGCTTTCATTTTCATTTGCCGATAGCCCAGTGGTAAGTAGGATGGCATTGCAATCGGGAAGTTGCAGGGTCGAATCCTGTTATATTTCCATCACTATTTCTTTTATTTACATGCATCATAAATGGATAAATCATTTGATTATTTACGAGTTAATTAATTTATTTATTTATCTATTTATTTATTTCTAAACTTTGATATACATGCCTATGTATATCTTCATAATTTTAATATGTAATGTCGTACAATGGTTGACTTGCACAATCATAGTAAACAAGTAAAATGTATTATGATGAAAATAAAAGAAGAAAAAACGCAATTTCTTTTGTTCACTCAGATTCGAACCTACAACACTTAAATTAAAACTGAAAGTCTTTATTCTTTGTCACTTAGGCTATTGAGGCAAATTTTGTGTTACTAACTTTAAGTTATACATAGAAATGTATACAGTGATGCCATATTTTAAAATTCGTAAGAACTCTTGGGAATCCGATAATTACAGACAAAAGGTCATTAAATATTCAAATGTCCCAGGTCCATGTTGACAATCAATACATTAAATTTATGAACACTTATAAACCAGAAGTGCATGGGAGGCAACTGAGAGTCTTCAATCCATAAAATTTAATGTATGATAATTGTTAGGAACCATCAAAATTTGTTAAAAAAATACATCTTGTTACTATAGATGTTCTGTCACTTGTTTGTTTCATTTAAACCTTTTTAATTAGTCAATCATTACCTCTTGTAATGTAACAATAATTTAATATGAAATTAACGGCCAAGGGGCCAAGGATTATGAGACAGTAACTATCAATGATAATATATACACTGTAGCGTTACATCTAGGTTGTGCCGTTGACAACACCACTATATACTTCTCGCAGAAACTTAACTTCAGAACACTTTAACAATTAAGTCATAGGTTTTGAAACTTTTTTTTAGGAAAGAGCACAGCTGGATGGAATGAGGGCTTTCGGAATAGGTGCTCCCTTTTGTGTTACATGAAATGCTAATGCGGGAATCTTATGGCGTTACCATTGATGTCCCGGGGTATTCAAAATGTCTTTTCTTGTAAAGAAAAAACGACATATATGTGTTATGGTTCATTGATAAAACACATCGTAAAAACCCTTATTTTCAAGTCAACCAGCCTTATACAGAGTTTTTCGCTCTGCAGATTTGAATTTTTCAATGAAACCCAGGGTTGTTTGGGGCCAACTGACTAGGACCCGCCAATGTTTTTTATAAAAAATTTAGTACTTTTGGGATTTAGAAATGGGGCGTATTTTTATGACATGGCGTATTTTTTCCTTTTTAGATTTAACATCAGGAAAAACCCTGATTCGGTGTTTGATAACTTATTGTAGTGTAAATTATTGTCAGCGTCTGTTTCTAATTTGTCTATGCGATCTTCCAATTTAGTAAAATATTGCCGTCACTCTCGATTTGTTCATTTTATTCTTTTTATTTCAAACCTGCTAGTACACCAGCAAAGATAGCGTTCACCTGCTCATTGACATTTACTAAGGTTTAAGTATTTCAGAGCGTAACATTTATTTTGCTATAGCAGTTAAATATCGACATTGTCGATAACTATGTTAGTTCTAATGGGGAAGTGAAGTCGCGTTACTTGTTGTCTGGTGCTGGTCTAGTACAGAAATTTTTATTTACACTCATTGTCACTAAACTTTAATTTTGTTTAAGAAATAGTATCGGTCTAAGCGGTGTTTATCGGCTATTTAACACCGGTTTGGAGTTTTGATGCGAAAACAATTGACTGCGAAGGCCGAAGGATCATGTTAGAATCTAAATAATATCGGTCTTAGCAGTGTTTTAATGCGAAAAAAGTGGTCAATTCATACGCATCAAAACTCCAAAACCGGTTTTAAAAGCCGATAAACACCGATAAGACCGATTTTATTTCTTAAAAACATGTACGTTGATAGCAGTCTCTGACATAATAACAAACCACGAAAGAATGATATATATTGCTGTAGTTGGCAAGTTTGTTATACATGATCCAAACTAACATATATTTACATAACAGAAAATGGAATGGTCCAGAACAAAATATTATTATTTATGACATTAACGTTAATACAAAATCAAAAAAAGAACTTAATCAACATTTTTTCAAGTAATAATTGAGTATAAGAATATTTAGATGATACATTACTATTCTTTTTGTCAAAGTTTGAAATACACTTATGGAAAACATGTGTCTATAGTAGACCGATCCATTTTAAGTATGACCTTGATTTGTGAATGACTTTGACGGTCATTACTATGATACAAACAATATGAAAATTTAGTTAAGAACTGAAACGTTCATTCATGGCTTCAATATCGACATCATTTAAAAGGCCATTGCCCTTTAGAATGTTGCTGAAATACTTCTTGTGGCGTTCAAACCGGTAGGGGACTTTTGTAGTTTGCAATACATTTCTTGTTGTATCTCTAATTAGGACCTGTTATTGTATTCGCACATGTGTGTTTTCTTTTTGCAGAGCCCGAGGCTGCAATTGAGAACAGACGCCAGGTAAATACATGTGCTGACAATGTGTAAAATTCTTTCATTTTATTTTGGTTAAACGTGGAAAACGAACTAAAATATTCAATTTTACAGACATAAGACATTTCAGTCGGTCGGTAAGTATTTCTAACATGACGCTCAAGTCAAGAAATTGATACTAATAATGTCGGGTTTTTGTTAAGACAGCAATTTGTAAATGTTTGGTAAAATAGTTTGCCAGCTATTATGTGCACATTCTGACTGATGTTTTGCTATTCAGAGAATCACTTTTGCAAGGTTGTTTTAACGTCTGAGATGTTTACTAGTTTTTTGATAGGCAATACAGTGTAATACAGGCAAACCAACACTCTTTCGATGAAAGTGTCAACAAAAAATCAAGTCAGTTTGTGTCTTTTAACGCATTAGTATATGATTATATATTGTTATAAACATTGCAAATGGCTGTAAAGACAAATGTTTTAACACTTTATTGATGATGCTATTTTGTATACTGCTATACTTTTTTAAATTTTACTTATAGGGTTGTATAAGTAGGAATAAGACACTTCTGGTAATTCTAGCGGCTTTTGTCATTGTTGTGAGTTGTTTTTTATACATCGTACACAGTCAAACAAAAGCTAACAGGTAAGTGTTATTGTTTTATTCTATTTAAAAGGTTTAAATATTTTCATTCATGAACACCAATAAATTATAGAACACGGAGTTTGCAACATTTTACAAATAATTAAAAAGCTGAAAAGCGATTGAGATGGTGTAATCATTTGACATGTTCAGATGTATTATGTGTTAACACAGTATCGGTATTTGATTTTGGAGCGTTAACATAGACATTTAAAATTTGGCCATTCAATAATAATAATAGCTGTCATATGTTGCCCAGTTTTTGCCCATAGGCGGGTTCCCGAGGGACGGATATTCTAATTCGAACCGCAAACATATGTCAGATAAATGATCTTGCATATTTTATCATATTCCATTATTTTTACAATTCCTTACGTTAAAGTGACATTATGCCCATCCAAAGGCATATAGTGAGTGAATGGGTGAAAGTCAAAATAAGGTTTCATTTTGCCATGATTCCTTTCAATTTCATAATTAAGTTCGCAAAAACAATGAATAACTCACAGATCCACACAAAATTCCTGTAAATATCCATAAGAATTTACCTATAATGCTTAGTTTATAAAAAGAGTGGGGCAGTCTTTCCAAATTTCAGACAGACTTATAATTTTACCCTAAACATTTTCCAATATCAACTATTGGTCAATCACCATTTTGACAGTCAATCTTTTGAAATATAAAGTTAATTCAGCTCAACTTGACCATGAAAATATGAGCATAATGTCACTTTAATAAAACAATTTTCCATGGAATTTTATGTCAACGGGAACGCCAGTCAGATATACAAGAAAATACTTGTAGCAAAGTAAGTTGATGTAAGTGCTGGTGAAACAAGTTTGCCGGATGACATAATCAACTTTGCTTAGCTATGTTTTAACTGATTCCACTCATGTTGCCATTACCATCTCTAAAGGTCAGTAAGCATCAGCATGTATCACAAAGTCACCCTCTTAAACTTATGAACAATTTCTTGACAAGTTTCATTTTTTTTGAATGCACAAAATAAGAACGCTCTACTATATAATTGTTTTAACTATTTGAATATTTTGAGATCCGCATTCTTAGCTGCTTCATTTTACTTCAACTCAATTTAGTTTTTGTATTTTCTGATCGCAAGATCAGTAAATACATAGCTAACATCCACGGTCTAACGCAAAATTTCCTCACAGACCTAACAACGCAAAGTAGTTCTCACTCAAAACTGCTTAAAAACCAGCAATTTAAAAGAAAGAATAATTTTTAATGTAGGTATTAAACGAATTACAATGCATTTAAAGTTTACATTAGTCAATAGAAATATGAGGTTACAACCAAAATTTCGCGGATGAATATCTTTTTTACCCAATGAAAAATGTTCGACTATTTCCGTAAAGCTTAATCAATGAAAATGCTATTTTTAGCTATGTCCATTACCGAATACTCCAGAGCGTAGTACACAAATAAATCTGACTGTCGAGTAATGGAATATATACATGTCGGACTGTTTTGGCGAGAAGATTTTCGCTAAATTATTTTCATCAGTGTTTAACAACAGGTTTGTCGTGGACAAAATACCTCGAAATTAATAAGGATTACAAATACGAAATGAAAATTCTCAATTTTAGAATTACAATATATTTGTTTTTATTCACGCTACATACGTATTACTTCACTGTGGTGCAGAGGTAGCGCGCTTGTTTAGGGTGTGAGAGGCCTAAGGTTAAATCTTGTCGAGGCAACATTTTTTTTGAAATGTTTTTTTTTAAGGAAGTAGCCACGATATGCAAGGATAAAGTGTGGCTGTAATAAAAAATGAAAAATGATTTTTGATGCAACTCTAGGCATGCAAAATTCCATATGTATCAATCACAAACTGTTAAACGCAGTCGCTGCGTAAGATAAATAATAGTATATAAAAATAAACTTATACAGGAAAGATCAGAAAATACCACAGAGCATGCAGCCCTTTGATTATTTTTTATGCTTATTTGAATATTTTACTTCAGGGATTTGATGGAAGTACTTACATCGTCAAACCAACATGCAAATGGATTACTTGGTGGACAGATACAATCAGACAATACGCAGAAACATTATCTGAATATTGGTAAATAGTTTGGCAATACATAATCAATCTGAAGAGCTTTAAATATGCTAAATTGATTCAAAATTAGATAAAATGTAAATAGTAGAAAAGACTCGATTTAGCTAAGTATGGGTGTAAGCTTTAAACAACCTACAATCATAAAACTAAGACTGTATTGCACTTAAAATCAGTTGGTACTACAGAATGTGATGATCCAATTAAACATAAAATAACATTTTGGCCCTATCTTTTGTATAACATTATTGTCTTTAACTTTATATACACGAAAAGCAGCCACAATTTGTTTGCAAAAAATGACTTTTGCGAAACACAAGACCAACATTTAAATGTCTGAAGTATTTGTACAGGTTTAAAAGGCATGTGTATGCTAAATAAACGATAAAAGAAAGAAATTTAACCTCAAATTTGGAAAGAATCAGTTCCATTGTAGTAACTAGCAAAATAACACAGTCGTAACTAGGTAACGTTTAAACTACCGTGTGTCCAAAATAATTGTTAAACAGTCAATGGAAATAAGCAACCAATTGTTACATTTTGTTCCAGTTATAGATGACGTGTGTATTTTCATAAATTGCATCAACTTTGTAAGCACTTACAAATTTATATGCTTAATCTCAATGCAGGAATGCGCCAAGACTATCTACTCCAAGAATGTCAAGGGACTCACTTTAAGTTTTCTTTTCCGGACATCGACTATGCTTTAATGGGTTACAACATATTGCGTGGTTTTCCTCTTGCAACTGGACATGACCCTGGTTTTACGTACCCGATTTTTGCTGCCAATTACGAAAACGGAAAGCAAACCGCCGATTGTCGCTATAGTGTCCCACAAGGTTTGGTTGTGGTCCCGGACGTGTCGTGTATTACGTCGTTTACGTCAAAAATCGTTCAAACACAATACGAGTTTGCAAATTCACTATCAGTGTCTGCAAGTGTAAGTGGTGGTGGATGGGGTGTAAGCTTTTCTGCAAGCGCCGGTTACAAGAAATCTTCGTCAGAAATATCAACTGGAGAGTCCGTTTTCATACTCTCCTCGGCCAGCTGCAATTATTACTTCAGCAAACTAGTCAAGCGGTCACCTCCACCACTAGATCCTGTCTTTCTTAGCTGGGTCAAAAGGCTAAGTAGAACAAACTCCACTGATGTATATTTAGAATTCCTTGACACATATGGTACTCATTTTCCTACTGAAGTCACATTTGGAGCAAGGTTTACTTACGAACATAAAATGACATCAAAGGAGTACAAAACTCAAAGTGAGAATCAAGTCAATGTTGCTGTCTCTGCAAGCTACTCTGGTATTGTCAATGTCGGCGGAGGATTTTCTATGGATTCTTCCCAAAAAGAAAAGGCTTCAGAATTTTCAAAATCAGTTGAAACGAAAACAATTTCAGTTGGAGCAGCGCCTCCTGCAAACGGCGATGCAATGACTTGGGCTTCAACCGTGAAGGACAGTCCTGTGCCATCTAGCTACAAACTTGCGTCGATAGAGGAGCTCTTTACAGAAAAGTATATGAACCCGGCCGAATTAAGCGTTAATCTTGCCCATATTTCAAAAACAATTAATAAAACAAAGATTGAATATTGCCAGAGTATGATTTTAAATGGTGAAGTGGAATCGTGCCAATCACTGACCCCAGGAATGATGCTTGAAGGGACAAGACTTCATAGACACTATGATTCAATAGTTTTATCGTACAAAGAATGCATCGACCATTGTTTGAAGCTTATTGACTGCGTCGCAATAACATTTTGTGATACTTGTAAAAGTCAAAATAACCATTATCACACTTGCTACATGTACAGCACAGAAAACCCAATATCTGGAGCGGAAGACGACAACTGGAAAACAATGCTGTTAATCGGGAAATCAAGTAAAAACCTTACACTCGATGAAACAGATATCAAAGGTACTGCAAGGGAGTTTGATGTAGAAAATATAGATGACAGAAGGAATATCACGATAACAAACTGTGAACAGTTTTGTATGGAAGATGCCCATTGCATTGCCTACAGCTATTGCGATTCCGACGAAGTTGAACAAAAATGCAAACTGTACAGTTTTGACAATGTTAAGGGTTTTGAAAGAAAATCAAGAACAACGACCGTCTTTGTTGCAAAATAAGCAGATCGATCAAATGTTATCGATACCACATGAGCAAACAAAAGTACATTTACTTCGAGAAGTTGGCATTCATTATGAATCGTATTTCTCATACAAACAATTTTACAATTATTTGTTTCATTTATTTCATTGTATTGCTATGCATATGCAAATCGGAAACGTGTGCATGTACTTATAAATAAAATTATCGTTTTTTTGTTCAAAATTGCTATTTACGTGCATGACCAACGAAGTTTCGATAACTCCTTTGCGTCGATCATATAGCTTATAGTAAGATTGTAAGCCTGACTAGTAAACTAATGGGTATGTAATTAGCGTGCGTCATTAACTAATCTTGTCTGTCAAATCAAGTTACAATTTTTTTTTCTAGCCAGAACTGTAAATGATTATAATACACAAAAGCATTGGTTGTTTCTGTGAACTGGTAAAGTGCAAAAAAATGTACAATGTAAATTTGTCAAAAGGAAAATAACTTTTCAATCCGAACATTTTCGTTACAATATATACTCCTGATTCTGGCTTGACTGTTTATCTTTTTTTAAAGCATTCAATGTTATGTAAACCTAACCATGTACTGTTTACTTTAAATAACATGTGTATATTGATAAAAGTCATCGTTGGAGCATTTTTCATGTTAATGTTTACGTTGAAAAGTTTAACAAAGCTTGGGAAAAAGGGTATCGCGAAGGCAGGGACTATAGTTTTACACCAACATTAGCGCATCTTTACGCTATGTTGTAAATATCACAAATGACATCACGTCATAGTAATATTACACTAGTGTAAAATCGTTTTTATGATGGGTTTATTACACTCCTACGTCTTAGGTTTTATGTAATAAATTGTTAATTTCACAATATCCCCTAGCCCGGCTTAAGGGGGGCCCATTATTTTCCAATTCCTTTTCTCCAAACATGTTAAAGTAAAGGAAAACTATCTAAATTTGTTTATATGTAAATTTTTTATGTAGCCGAAATTTTTTGTTAATTCATACCAAATGTATATATTAGAGTGCGTGCGTGTATGCGCGTGTGCGTTTTGATTGTTTATCTAACTTCCACTGTTAAATCATAATTTGTAACTTTTCTATTAAAATTATCCGGAAAATACATATTATTGAAGTTAGACTTTGTTGGAATGGCTGCTGCGAATGTTGCAATGACTTGTAGCCCAATCCATTTGCACTCTACTTATATGTACATTTATTTTTGTGTTATTCATATCTTACATGTCTTATATAGTTGTAATAAAATATAATTTAACCAAAAAAAGTATCGGAATAAATTATCCCGAAGATCCAAAAAAAAATAACAAGTCTGAAATAAAGTAAAGGGCACATTTCACGGCTTCAACATATCACTTCAAACCTGCTGTGTTGACAACACAGGGACGTCTCGGGAAGCGCTGATTGTTATCAGGTCTGGTGGAATCCATGGTAGCCAAATGCACGTCTTGATGTAGAAACTCTTTAATAAAAATTGGTTTTATCATATAACTCCTCATATTTTATCATGATTATTACATCCGGTTGTTACATAAGTTGTCACTACGTCAGCAACATCTTACCAGATCACTTTCACATGCAATACTGAATTTCTTTTCTCCGCGCTCCTTACAGTGTCATATTTTTCAATTTTATACATTTAAGAAGGATTTGTCTTATATTTGCACTAGAATATTTCTATCATCCTTGTATTGAATGATAACGCAAATAAATCAAAAAGAATATAAATATTTTATCGGTTACTACTACAATATTATACAATGGACTAGACTTTAACGATTTGTAACGAGGCTTATTTTACCATATTTAGTTTATAAGAATTTGTTTAAGTTCCAATTGTGTTTTGAAACTATAAGCTTATAAAAATACCTCTCGAATCCGTTTCCCTAGAACTATTCAGTATTAGGTACAAGAGTGTTAAGTTTCCCTTGCCCATAGGAAACATCGGCTTGTCCGCTACGGATTTGAACCCACACGGCCAACCAATCCTGAGAATGCTTATCACTCGAACCACTCGGCCATTGCCACTTAACCATTATAAAAAATGTTTTCGTCAATAGATTATTTTATAAGGACTTCCATGTTACTTTCATCCGTTTACTATTTTTCAAAACAATAGCGTATGAATTAAACATATTCATTTATTTTAAGGGCGAAGAAAATGCGCCAAATAAATGATGAGAAAATAATACACATATTTACTTTTTCAAAAAACCATATGAGCGATGAACAGTTCTATAAACATAGCTGTAGAGTAAAACACACTTAAAAAAACCACATTCCATGAACTGTTCTCACATCAAAATCATTTTAAAGGTTGATAATGAAATTTGGCAACGAGAAGCACAAGAAAAATGAAAATATTATTAACAAACAGATGTGTTTCCCATGTATTTGGTAAAAGATCTTTGTAAAAAATGAAAAAAAAAAATCAAAAATGTGGCATTTTGTACCTTCTGCATATACATTTATATATTTCTTGAGAGTGACATTAAAACTAAAAAAACATGTAATTCAATTTATTTTTTGCCCAAATCTTAATTGAATGTTTTAAAGGGTGCCCTACATTTTATATGTAAATGATGTGTAAATGTTTATTTTGAATCAAAATTTAAATGGACCAAAATTTTTTTTCAAATACCCTTCTGAAAAATTTCCCTCATTTAATTATTATCAAAAATACCCAAATTATTTTTCCACAGGGGAATTTTAAAAAAAGATTTCAATAAAATTATCCGTAAAGGGTCACATGTTTCCCTTTTAAAATTTTCTTAGGTTTCAAAATTTTCAAAACATGCGGAAAAAAGTTTATATGTTGGGATTTCTCACAGATACCTTTTCCGATCAATCAAAAGGTTCTCCTTTCCCGCCATTTGAACAATTAATCAAATTTTCAACAGCTGCAAAAAGATCTCTCACATGCTTCTATTTAAAGAAGCAAATTTGTAATAGATGTTGGTTTTGTTAAAAGTTATTATAAGAAGAAAAGTCTATACGATAAATTGAGTATTTATGGCATGTACCATTTTGCATTATTGAAGTGTAAATGACTCTAACTAAACAAAGTTCTCATTATTTTCTGGCACATGATATTTTGAAAAACACTAAACATCTGTTGAAGCAAACCAGTACTAACGTGTTGTTTTTCTACAATAAATTTTGTTTGATTCGAATAAATGTAAAGGAATATAAAATTGCAAGAAGTCAACATTACATGAATATTAACCATTTGCGATACCCATTGAATAGCTGAAAGTAAAAGGAAAGGACCAGCTTCATTGTAGAGTATAAAATAGCAATTGCTTCTTGTCGTCCGGTTTCGTCAAACTTAGAACAAGGTCCTCAATAACAATTATAGTAAAAATACAGAGAACGTCCAAACATACGCTACGAATCTAAACATGTAAACAAATACTAGTAGTAATTTATAGTTTATTCCAAATTATCCAGTAAAAGTCCACCTAAATTAAATAAAATTTATAAAAGTAAATGTTAACAGCACACTATTTTATATACTTTTAATTGTTGTAGAAACCGAAAGTATAAAATGTTAATTTGTGCTGTTTAGTTTTGGGTCGATTAATCGAGCACACCCATGTCAACATAAGAAAAATTTCGTGCGGAGAAAATATGTTTTAAAATGCATATACACATTACAATCTAAATGCATTAAGTAAGTTGTTTAAAGTGAATAAATGTGTCTCTTTGTACAAGCATCTATACACTTCAGTTATATGACAAACAAGTAACTTTGACCAAAAAAAGTGTACAAAGTCACCCAACCCACGCACCCCACCCGCTAAGTGCAGTTCTCAAATAAATATAAAAAAGATCGACTTAATATTGAATTGAATCATTAAAAATGCCTTTTGAACAAAAATGACAACAAGAAGAGAATCTACCACAGCAAACATTTGATCATGATATAAGCTCAAAAAAGACAAAGAAAGCGATAAGAAAAAAACAGAAAGAAAAAGGTCAACAATCAGAACATTATGAAAATGATTTTGATCAATTTAAATCAGAAATAAAAGAAATGTTAAATGAGTTTAACAGAAAGATTTGTGATATAATGAATACTCTAGAACAAAAGTTCACAAATATGTTCGATATTTTGAAAAGAGAAATGAGCGAAATGAAAAAAGAGGTGGGTGGGGCAAAACAAGATGTGATAGAAATGAAAAGAAAAGTAAATGATTTGGTATCATGCCTAGGAAATATCAAAAACAAAGAACTGGAAAACAAAAAAATGGAAGATGTGTCTAAGATGAATAGCATGTCTGAAAAAAATCAATGAAATGGACAAAAAATTGCTTCTGTTAGAAAAACAAGACAGAAAATATAACCTTGCTTTTTTTATGGTTTTCCCTGAGGGAACAAAATGAAAATATTGAATGAAAAATGAAGTCCTTTTTTATACACAAACTAGAACTTGAAGAAGACACTGTACAAAACATGTCCTTCACACACCTACACAGAGTCCCAACTGAAGGAAATTGGTCCAAACCCAATCATTGTGAGATTTTTGTCCTTTGGTGAGAGGGGACCTGGTCCTCTCAAAGTCTTTACTTCCTGTGCTGAGGCAGGAAAGGAAAAGAATCCCTACAGACCTACCTGTTATAATGAAGAAGAAAGGGGCAAGACTTGCAAAAATGCTTATACCATAAGACAAAGAGGAAAAACTGAAAACAAGAATACAAAAAAAGAGGCTTGGTGATGTCTATCTGCAAGTTTAAAAAAGGAAAAGAGGACATTGTGGGTAAAAGAAAAGTCTAATAAAAAAAATCAAATGAAGAACAGTGTATAGTGTCTATGTGTAATCAAATATGGATAAAACAGCAATTCATAAAAGTAGTAAATAAATCATAAATAGTAATAAAGTAAAATCAATAAATAACATTGTTTGTTAAAGTACAACAATAGAACGTTTCATGGTGGTCCAGTAACCTACCATACAATTATTTGATCAGTAATTTTTTTTTAAATATTCAGAAAATGTGTTTGTTTGATTTACATTTCCAGGAAAATCAACATAGACAATATAAATAGAGTCATTACTGGATAATATCCATGCATCATCTGTAGATACATATATGTGCGTGTGTAAATTTATTTTTATTGCAAGCATAGATTCATCTAAATATACATGTGTATTTTTCCAACACAGTACCTTATCTAGGTGATAAATAATCTAGGATCTATTACGTTTTATAAAAAAACTGCTAAAATTATAAAACAGTGAGTGTTAAAAAGTAAATACCTTTATTGTCCTTGCAAATTTATTCCAAGTTTAAATTAAATACTATCTAAAAATTTTCTTCTTTTTAATTTGCAATATCATTATGTGTTATGCATCTATTAATATTCTCCTCATGTATAGCACACGAGTGTTTATAAACACACACACAAGATACATGTAATGTATGGTAAATCAGTTGTTTACCTCCA